CAGGAATGCTTTATACAAACAAAGCATCTATCTGTCCTGGTGAAATCCTAACGTACTAGATCCAAGTTTAGCACACAATGTATACACACCATTTTACAAGGGCTTAGAAGTGCTCTGTTTAGTGTTTTTTTTTTTTTAATCCTTATATCCCTAATTCATAAAATAAATCCACACAGAAACATGACAATAATGTTTAAAAAAACCACACACATGATCAGACCAACCATCTCCATATGAAAGCATATCTAACAGATTAATCTTTCCTGACTGGACCTCCTGTCACTCCTGAATCCTTTTTTTTGGGGGGGTTACTAATTTTTAGATTAAGCAACTGGTCTTGCCCTTAATCTTGCCTCTTATACCTCTTGCCCCATACCTCTTGGGATCAGCATCAACTTTTTCTCCTCCAACAACTAAAAGTGAATTTCACAGCTAATACTCCTTTGAAATTGAACCTTTTAGCTCTGATTTGTCAATATATCTAACTGCACTCAAAAGTAGAAGGGAGAGATGGCAATAGTGAGCTGGCTACCATTCCTTCAGCCATAGCTGCTGGGTGACAGTCATATGCACCTTGCGGCTGCTGTGAAAGACAGCACTGGAGAACTGGACATAAAGCTCTGCTCAACCACATTCTCCCTCTTCCTTGTTCCCTTGAGGCATGCAAAACATTTCCAGTAAAAAGTTTAAAAATTACATCAGACTCTCCAAGTCATAACATTAGCAAAGCAATTAATTCTTGTCTCCTGAAAGTAGATTTTTAAGGGTTTGTGCTACCAAGCTTTCTTCACAAATATGAATGCTCACTCCTTACCAGAGGAAGGGGGAGAGAGTCTTAGATGAGAGAAAAAAAAAAAAAAACACTAGCTGAAGCCTTCAGAAAAGGCAGTAACAATAACTCACAAAATCCATGATAAAACAGAAGACTTGGCAAAATTGCCAGTTATCCTCTCTTTCACGTTTACAATATTATTTCCCCAGGGATTGTGCCAATGCAGATTCTCTGTGCACCTTATGGCTAGATGCACGAACTGGAGCAGAGGTAGCAGTCTTAAGGGACAGCAGACCACCAGGTACAGCTCTGCAGGGACAGAAGCACTGGTCTGGTACCCAGGAAATGCAGGACACTGACCTCCAAGACAAAGCTATTTGTGGTCACTAATGAAGAGTGACTTACAAGAACTATGTATTTATTACTGGAGTTTGGGCTGGGAGATTTGGCCAGTATGCTTTTGCTGGAGACAAGGGAGATTATTTTATTGGTCTAAATGACTGTTTTCAGACTACAGTTGAAACTTTTGCTGATGTAAAGCTACTGTTTATTCAAAAGGTTACTTATTACCAATTTTTGGTTCATATATTTCTGAATTACTGTAGAGATGAGACATTCCCTACCTATTAACTTAGTACTAAAACACTACAACTACTTAATTTCTGAGATTGCATCCACTCAGTGGTGGCCCTACTGCTTTTTACCTGGTAGAAAACCCGATCACTTCCTGTACTGGTGTGTACCTCCTGCTCCAGCACGCTGTGGTGCTGGACTTGGTGCTTGCAAGGACACCATCCACGCTTAGCACTGCCATAATGGACTCCACAATTCCCAAGGTAAAACCTGTGTGCATCAGCTTTACATATTCTTAATGCCATCCAATATTTCAAGATCACAGAATTAGAAAAAAACTGCTACTGCAGTGAAAGAAAGAATACCTTTTCTGGAATATTTTAACTACCAGTTCTTTTTTAAAAAATGTATTAAGTAGCACTTTGTTGAAGCTTTCAAAAAAAGATATATACATGAACAATTAAGCAAGACTTAGAATAATTATACTTGCCCATACATAATCAAAATAGAAGAGAGGAAAAAAAGAAAGAGAAGTTAAATGACGAACTTTAAAATAACCTTGTCCTATTTATTAGTACAAACCATTTTTAATTTTATGGCATTCATAACATAATAGATGCTACTTATCAAGTCTTATTAGCATAATAAAGAACTATAACCTATAACAATTGGGAAACTAAATCACTGCCTGTACATTCAAGATTTACATTGACAAATATATTGACCTTTGCATGATGTTGCACTTAAAAGTTAAAAAATTTCATTATTGTTGGTTTTATTGTCTTGTCAGATGTAAAATTTATTCTGAAAGGTCTGTTGAAGGATAAAGGATAGCTATAAATTGGGGGAAAAATTAAATTATGAATTCTAGGGGATAACTTATACAGCATATCTCCCAAAAGCTCAAGACTAGATATTCCCATGGAAATACATAGAGAACGTAACTGAAAAACAACTGCTTTGCCTTTCCAAGGATACTCAGCAAGGAATGAAATCTTGGTTAGTGACATATTTTGGTAAGCTTTACCTTGCACTGACCATAGGCATAATTCATGTCTTACGCATTTTGGCTATACGTTTCCTTGCTGTTTCATTCATGATTATATCTAATTTTCTTACTGCAGCTTTTCACACAATTTTGAATGGCTTTTCAACTTAAAGAACCACTGACATTGCATAGAATCAAAACACAGCAAGCCACAAGTTTTAGGGTCTCCAACATTGGATTTATTGTGTAACCCTTTCTGATATTAATACCATTATAATTGTTTATAATAAGAGCTATAATCATTTTAACATTATAAAGCAAGTTTGAGAGCATGAAGGATTCACTAAGTCCAACCACATTCCCAGTAGTTCAGCCTCAGATCTGGAAATCATCAGGATGAATTTGCCACTGGAGGAAATAAAACACCAAAAATGTTTTGCTCTTTACCTTAGGGAAAAAAAAAGTTATTTCTGGTTCAGTTTAGGAACCTCTTTCTAATCTTTGCCTCTACTTACTTGAGAGGCCCATTCAGAAGCAGAGAGCCACATGAAGAATCCTAAGGCTGCTCTTTTCACATCTTTTCTGTGGAAAGCAATGAGCTAGGCATGATACAAAAATACTTCCATTTCTATGCTAATTCATCTTCAACATCCTTGTGGCAGTAACATTTATATTCACAAGGAAAAGGACAAATCTGTTGAAATTCCTTCTTTAATATGTGTTTTCAACCAGCCCTTTTCTTTGGCTTGCAAGTAGTATGCTAACCTGTGTGTTTTCTGACTGATCTTTTAAGGCTGATGCTAAACTCACTGAGCATTTTTTACTGTCTATAACACAGCATATTGATTTTGCCTTTCCCTGGTTCACTTCTAAAGCCTACACAGTCAAAACTGTTACTTATTTGAAGACTTCTTCTTCGGCCCTGTTCTGACAGATATCCGTTCTGATGCCATCTGCTATCTTCATATTCCATCATTGAACCACAGGCTAGCGCTTCTGCTGTGACAGCTTTTGAGGTGTAAAATACACTTTTCTTGACATCTGCCTCAGCTCACCCATCTTCCACTAAAAAACAAAAAGTGATTTGAAAATATTCTTTAGAGATATTTTGTATTTTAATTTCTCCATAGGATCTTTCTTCACTCTAAGGATGCCAGCGTTCTGTGGTTTACTGTCTTTCTATTTTACAGTTCACATTTTTTGTATACAAGCTTACAATGCAGTAGGCAGGCAGGGCACACCTGATATACCAAATTAATACCAGTTGCTCATATTTGCTACTTGTAAAAACACAGAAATCCGCATATGTCTTTTATAAGTGTAAAGGAGAATCAGATGTTCTAACTCCTTTAGTGACTGCAATGATACACCTACATTAAAGAAAGCATCTGCTCTCCTAAAATGAAAAGGTAAATACAAAGCAAGCTGATTAGATGAGTTATGGTCTACTGGATTAGGAAATGGAAACTAATTCCATCTGAGACCCCACCTCTGCACACATTCAATCCACCTAATATCTTTACCTTTAAAGTTTGTGTAACGTTCACCTGATTTCCTCACAGAAGTATCATAAGCAAGTTTGTGCCGTGAAAGGACTTTGAAAATTACAAGTCTTGATAATTTTGAAGCGGCTTGTCAAGAACATGCCACAGGTACAACCAAAATCTATGATGTAGTTTACGCTCCACCCTTTAATAACCATGATGCAACCAGAGCATAGTACATGACAAAGTTACTTACCTTACTTAAAAAGAGGTACACCTCTAAGGGCAGAGGGAGTGAAGTTTGTGGATCTTGCTTTTCAAACTACATCTGGCCATCTAAAATCCAGCATAACCAAACAGACTAGAATTAGGTAATGAAAGTTATGAGTTTTACACACGAAATACTGTGTAACAATGCTTATGAAGCAAAAAAGTCACTTGCTAAGAATGTAGTAAAAGAAAGAAAAAATAAACCTAAAAAGCCCCAAACAAAATTATCTAAACAAAACGATCAAACAAAATTATCTAAACAAAATACATGGCTAGGAATGAGTGAACTTCAGTCTTTGCCAAATAAACTAAATCCATAGTTCTGATTAGCCATTCTTCTTTTGCCTCTTTTCAAGCATTCTGAACAACAGGTTAGTTTCCCCATCAACAGATGTCTCATATTTTAATCACATTCACAGCATATACAGGCAGATGGAAGCGATGCTTCTTTCCAAATTTGAGTAACAAGTAGTATATCAGCTAATAACAAAAAAACACCACCAGGTCTTGAGGGAGAGAACGCTCAAGAACACTAAAGAACGCTCATGTTCTTTAAAACTGTTGTAAAAGACAAAACAGCAAAGTGAATGGGTTATTTTTATTCAGCACAAGAGTTTTTATTCTGATTATCTTCCAGACTACAAGATCTTCATATCTTTTAGTCTTACCCATATATAAAATATTTGATGGTATGTGTTCATATCTAGCTAGAGACAGAACTCACCAGATCCGTAACTGGTAAGTTTTTTTTAAATAAGTCATTTTCCATCTCTCTTCATTGCTCCAGCTTTTCTCTCATGCTTCTCTTCAGCTCTTTCTTTGTTCATTTTCCTACCCATACCTTTCAATAATAAAGTTGCATTTATTTTAAGGAAAAAGCTTAGTGTTTTATAGGTTTCATATTTGCACTTTTTATTAATTCTTGTCAATTGCATTTCTAAAGCTATTTTTTTTGCCTAATACACTGTCAATATATCCCTATCCTATTCAAATCAAAGATCCTACCTGCATCAAAAAACAGTAAAATAACTGTAAGAGTTTTATGCCTATTATACAGTACCTCAAGAGTTCTCATAACAGTATCTACAAATAGTCTGCCTACAGTAACTTCAGCTGATCCCGGTGCAGGTATCTAACATACTTCCCAGTCTATCTGCTAGCGCGCTGGCAAAAATCATCCCATGAACACTGATTAGCGAAACAGATCTACGAGCAATTAGTCAATCTCTCCCCTTCTTTCCTATTATAAATATCCTTACTTTGACCATTCTCTTTCTTGAATGATCATAACAAATAAGTATATTAATGCAGCAGTCCAAATTCCTTTTAGAGTTCTGTAAAATGAACACTCAGGGACATCTAGACCTGCTACCTTACTCGTCTTAAGATTCTTCTTCACAAGCACACACTTACCCCTTTGTAATGGGCCTATGAATTTTTTTCACCTATTTCTATGGGAGAATAGACAAACTTGAGATAGCATAAGTATTTTAATCACCGTTTGGCTTTCTCTAAGGCACATAACTCAATAAAAATTGTTCAAAATTATCTGTTACCTCGCATGAATTAATTATTAGCTGTCTTGCCAGAAATTCCATACAAGGAATATTTTTTTTCTTAAAATTTCTAGCTAGGATTGCGTCTGTCCTAATATCTTTCTGTAACTTTATATATTTATATTCAGAATTTAAACTCTATTTTATGCATTTAATATTTACACAAATACATATGTAAATTTTACATGTATATATAAATTCACACACATAATCACATGCAATACACTTTTGTACATAACATATCACTTTTCAGATGAATATTGTAATTTGTTGTGCTTTATCATTTTCCAGTGTTTCAATTTACCTCTAGCTTCACTAAAAAAAAGGAAAAAAAAAAGTATTTATTTATATGTTTTAATTCCAGGACTGAAAGGGCCTATGGGACAAGTCTTCCGCAGCTTTTTTGAGGTTTTTTTGATTTTTTTTTTAAGATAGGATGCTTCACTAATAAAATTGCCTACAATTACACGCTGCCAATATCCCAGAAGGTTTCTTTAGCTGTGGTAAAGTGATAACGAGTAAATTGATAGTCACAAAACACAATTCAGTCCCTGGGGGCTTTACTTAGTTGCCATACTCCCATATCCTATCACCTAAAATCCCAAGCGTGTCCTGGTTTTGTACTTCTTAGCCTTTTCAGCTTTCTCCCAAAAGGCAGCAGCTCATCTCAGCCCTGTCTAGTGCTATGTCCTCTGCTCAATGGGCCACCTCCTGCCAGGTCCTCGCTTCTTGCTGCCCCTACAAAGCCAGGGGGCCCTTCTGCAGTCTCCCAGAGATTGGGTGCTCAAGGGACTCTGCAAAACTGTATTTCAGGTCTCTCCCCCGCATCACTTTTCATGTCACTTCTCCCCCATACACATACGCTTTTCTCCTATCCTCAGTTTCTAACTATTCCTTTCTGTTAGCTTCAGAGTATGTCCTTCCTACCTCACTTTTAACAATAATAATCCTGGGAAATACTATTTTTCTCTCACGATGACTCCCCTTTCACTTTTTCTTCCCTGCATGTTACTAATCAGAGTCATGAAAATCTTCTTAAATAACTTTAATCTCATTATTTTTCTACCCATTTTTCTTTCCCTTGTCTTCTGGACCGTTTTGCTTTTCAGTTTTAACAGAAAGGCAATCTATACTTTGGTGCAGTCTCTCACTACCTGTATTGAAGGAAAACTAAATTTTTCAGACTCTCTTCCACTAAATTCAATTTCTCAAAGATTTAATCCTTTCCTTTTTCTTCTTTATAATGTGCTGCTACTCTTGATGTGTTCAAAAGGAAAAGCCCATCTCTATTTTATATCTTCTGTTTCAAGTGCAGTTTGCAACACGTCCTGAAACACTGGTGCCATATGTTCTCCTACAGCAAGACCAGAAAGTTCTCTTGCCTTTTTTTTTTTTTTGCATTCTTTTCCTTCTGTTCACAATTCTTTTCTTTCTGTTCCAATCTTAAAACTGGATTACCAAGTTTACCTGAACTGAGAGTAAGAAAGATGGTAAAGATAAAGAACTCTGTCTATGATGAGCACGGCAATTTTTTTCAATTGTAGAAAGGCGACTCTTATTTTAATATTTAACAGGCTCTCCTTCTCTACACTTTCTGAAAATCCTCTAAGCCTTAAATATATTTTCCACAATTTTCTACAACTTTTGCGAAATCTTTTCTTTTAGTCATATTGATTTTATTTTATAAAGCTACTATATTTACAGTTTTATTCATATTTATCTGTAACATAAATATTTCACTTCACTTTTAGATAGTTTTATATTTGACTACAATGGACTCCTCAAAATCCTGCCCAGCAGCTGGGACTGTTCTGTCTGTCTTTTCAGCAAGAGCTTACTCTTATGGTTGAGGACTTTGAACTTCAGGGAAGTTTCTTGGGGAACAATGTCCAGGTACAATGCTACATTGGTTCCACAAACAAGGAGAGTGGTTTCTGGAAGGCCAGCATCAGGAAAAGCAACATTTGCATTTTCCACCATGCCGTCCACTTTGCCCCCTTCTTGGGGCACTAGTAGCTAATCCTCATGTTCTGTGATGGTCTCCCCACTGGCTTAATTCTAAATCGGTTCAGGGCTGAACAAGAATTTAGTATAACTGGCACTCAGTGACACCATTGTAAGAAAATGATTGTGCTTAGGGTCAACAAGCAGACAATTCGATTTTTTTCCCTCCTTCTCATTCCTCTCGCATGTACTATGCTTTCTAAAGCTTATTCTCATTAACGCTTCTTCTTTCATACTAATAAACATATGTTATATATTACTTACATTAATAATGATGTTTTTGTGCTAACAGTAAGTATTAAACTATATAACCAAAGCATAAAAGGTGTAATGTATATAGCTCTGCAATCAAAGTGGATAAGCATGAGTGTGGAGGATTCTTCACACATCTCAATACAAGATTACCCAAAGCCCTGGCTCAGATTAGGCTAACACTGCCAAATCTGCATTACTTGAACATAACGTTATCAGCACTTCAGCATATTTCAAAATTGGTACTGTGGAAAACTTCAGTGATTGGGACTCTCCAGGAATAAAATATTGCATGACTTAGCAAGCTTATGGAGAAACTTTTTAGAGCTACAAATTAAAATCTCTAATTTTCATTTAGTGTAAGTTTTAACCCTGAATTAGATTTAATATGGCATTTTACTTGCACTGCTAGTAGACCTGAAGCCATTTGGAACAATATATTTTTTATTAAATGCTGGAGGAAAACCGCAGACCATTCACCTTTAACTAAAGAGATCTGTAGCAGCGTATTTTCACTACTGTCTAAACTGACCTTTTTTCCCAAGTGCCACCTGGGATCAAAATCATCCAGTTCTTGCAGTGAGTGACTGCTGAATGGGTACATGTGTCAATTTGGCAAATCCCAGGTGGATGCCAAACCTGTAAAGAGGTATGTAGTGACAGATTTCTGCAGCTACCCTCACCTTCCCTTTGCTATTACCAGGCTTTCCATAGGCTGAGTTTGTACCTCTCTCACTGAAAGATCAGTCCCTTAAACTCTGGGCAAGCATCGGCACACTTACCTCGTGCAAGGGCAAACAGTACAGAGACATTACACCTGGCAGAAGTCTGCATCAGGAATAGATGGTCCACCTCAGCCTCTGCACAGCACAGGACTGTGCTACATTTGCTAACACAAGTCTGGAAGCATGCTTGGAAGACTGCACTGCTCCAAGGGGTGAATTACCCCACACGGGTGCAACCAGCACCTCACAGAACAGCGTTTCCACGTTGGGGAAAGGACAGGCAGAATCACCATGCATCCAGTGCGTAGACTGACAATGAGATGGTGAGGGACAAGAAACAGATCTTGATCAGAGACACCACAGGATGAAAAGGGCCGCGCAGGGAGGGTGGTCAAGTGAAAAAGCCTAAAGCAAAGCATGCGCTCCCTTGCTTTTTCCTTTTGTGAAACTCGGTAATTGCCCCTATCCCTCAGTTCCTTATTATACTCCAGCAACTTCCCTAGAAAACATAAAGACCATTTTGTGTCAAAGAGCAGATTACACCTGGTTAAGCCTGAGAGCAGGATAACCATCCATCAGTCAAAGCACCTCAAAACCACTCAGCAACTGCAGTCTTGCGGACCTTGGCAGAGAAAAAGGCTCCCCTGTTCCCAACTCTAAGCCCAGTACAAATGTCATACTTGGCAAGATGACACCTTCTGTTCTTTAAGATAACAAAACACTTTGGCTTTACAGGGTGTCCTTCATACTTAAGGACCCCAAATGCCATGTTGCTGTATTACATTTGCAGGCTCTGGCAAGAGAGCAGTGTATTCGTAACCTTAAAACAGACAGCACTTTTGTGACATTTAGTGTCACCAAAATGAAAAATAATTGCTCACCACTGGCTATAAATTATGTTCATTTTGCCAAGGGCAACATTTACTAGAAATTGTATACAGCAAGCAAGTCAGAAATCACGTAAATCATGACCCTAGCTAATTAAATTCTGCATCTAATGGAGTGAAATTTATTGACAGCTCACTAAAATGAATTAAGAAAAGCAGTAACTGCATTTGTTGAAAGTAATAAAGTGTTGGGGGGGTTTTTCTCAAGCACTTAGAAGGTTATTATAAAATTGCTCTGGGCCACACCGTTAACATACAACAGCCAATTACTATTCTTTAATCAGAGAAGACATTCCTATTTATTGGGAAATAACTTACTTGGGTTATTGTTTCTAATTTTTATTCCTGCTTAAGAAATTGGACACTTAATAAATATTGAAATCTAGGAAGGCAATAGATAGATGTCAAGTTAATGATATACATGTAGCAATTTACATTGCATTAACTTTGTTTCAGTCAGTTCAGTATTCCCATCCTGTAATTTGGAATGAATTAACCTAAACATCTTTGTTATTAAAATAACTAATAGTCTTCACAGTGGGAGAACGTGTGCGCTCAGACTTGTGCTGAGATTTGCCATATGGTTGGCAGACCATATTTTATCTTCACTTGCCACAGAGTTTAACTTTTCATCAACCCATCCATTGAATACTTTAACTGTTAAGCCCAGGAAGAGAAATCACAGAAAACAGACAGAAAAAGAACATAAAAGAGAAGCCTGAATGAAGGGCCATCTTAGAGAAATCAGCAAAGGAAAAAGGTCCGCTGCTCTGAGGTAAAGGATAACAGCAAGGGAATGGATTATATAGTACATGAAAAGCATACAAATTTATAAAAGTGTTAAAGGAAAAGAAAATGGGACAGTGACTCAGTGGAGCCCCATGTTATTGACAGCTGCATTAGGACAAAAATTGGTACTTTACAGCATGCACAAAAGGGCACTATTAAAATAGCTATGATGCTAAACCCAGGAACTGGAAATAACCAAATGCGTAACAATGGGAAGTATATGAGGAAAAAAAAGTAACTGGAAATACTTAAGGAAACCAGAAAATGTTTCTGAGGTTAACAGTAAGTGAAGATAAGGCTGTGTTTCTAATATCTGTGCTAGTTAGCAAATTTGAGGATTTGTATTGAAGGACTTTCCAGAGATGGCTTCCACTTCAGCTGCATACGAACAAACAGATAACCAGCCATTTCCCTGGCTAGATTCTTATATTAACAGTGAGGACAAGCACAACAACTGAGTATAGGAGCCTTTAATGAAGCTATACCATGAATAACAACTGTGTGCCCCGTCCCACATTTTTCCTGTGCAGTAGTATGGTAAATTCTGTGGGAATACTTAGTACTGTGTGTGCCTGCAAATGATGAGCATGACCGATTTCTTCTTCCAGCTATATTTTTTATTTTAGAACATTTGCCTTCTTTTGGTATGATTTTACATCACACTTAAATTACCTGGTATTTTTCTGCAAAAGCAATCACCAAACTCTAATTCATTGGTAATATTTATCTTCATTAACCCCAATTGAAGGCACAAATTAACACATATTTCCTTTAACAGTGTATGATGATACCACACTTATCTTTTTCATCTGCCTCCTAAATGTTGAGCTGCACCATAAAAACATTTTATATTTTATTATTCCTTATCATACATTCATAGCTTTCTCTTCACTAGAATTACTAACTTAATGAAGATGTCCCTGCAATAATATCTTAAATTAGTACACCTTAAGTCCTGAAAGCCAAAACACTTCTTCATGTCACACTAAAGCTCCTCTGCAAGGACCCCTTTCACAATGCTCAGCAAGGTGAAACATCAGCGGTGAAAGAAAAAGCTAAAAGCCAGGCTCCGCCAATACTGGCGGCAGACACTCGAGGCTCAACCCACAGCTACGTGACAGACAACTGGAATCTCACTTACCAGGACACAGATGTCTGTGGTCACCAGCCACTCCAGCTTCAGAAAGTAACAATACACACACCTATACTAAAACATTTACGGCTCCTAAAAGGACTAGTTTGTATTTAGTTGTAGTATGTATTTATAGTGTACAGCCACATACACCTCACTTCAGTTCCCTTGAGCCATTTTTCTCTTTATAGTCTGTTATCCCAGAGAACACCACCAGAAAATACTATTCAGTTGACAAAAAGATTCCCAGAGACTGCTTTAAATCTGTCATATGGTACTTTTGACAAAATAAATGAGAGTCATCCTAAAGAAAACTACAAGTTAAGCAACCTAGCTATTTCCTTCAGACCTACAATAAGTGAGAAACCAGTTAAAGTAGCTCAGACACTGCAAGTCTCGCTTTAAATCACTGTTGGTCACTGTCTTTCTTCAGTTTCGAGAAACTGAACTTGAACATACCAACACCATAAGTGATTACACTTATTACTTATGACTTAATCATCTAGTTCATGGATGAAGTATGACCGTTTCAATTCTCCTATTTGAGACAGGCAACATGAAAACATTGTCATAACAAAAAATAAAGTTTTCAACTATGAAGTATTACACAGTTCATACTGTAGTCTGTGACAGAAATAGCCAGCCAAAGTTTGACTATATGGTGTCTCACACTATACTGCAATAAGTAATACTACATCTGTTTTCCAAATTCATCTTCTAGGCCAAATATATACGTAGTAACATAATTTAAATTATTCCAAAACTGTACAAAACCGTGCATAAAGTTATGTTGATGATCAGTATTTTCTCTTAAAAAACACACATGAAAACTTGGGAGGTGAAAACTTGGCACATGAAAACGTGGGAAGCTGCTTCGCAAACTAAGTTTCTGAAGGCATTTTAGGAAATTGTTTTCACTTTGAATGAATGTGATATGCAGCATTCTGCTTCATAGAGCGCAGAAAGTAGTGCCTGGGGAACGCACAAAAGTTCTTGGATAGGGTCTTGGGGGTTTTCTAAATGGCTTACTCAAGTAAGCTTTCCCTTGTGTCTCTCCTTGAGAAGAAAAAACAGAAAGAGAATAGAAGAGATGAAATGAACATAATCTTTAAAATCTTTCACATCAGTCCCATTGAAACCATCGCTTACACAAAACAGAAGTATTAAGTGCGAACAGCTAACATTCATTTTGTTTGGTAACTATAAGAAATTAACTAGGCGTGCTGGAAAGGAAAGCTATTAAAATTTAATACATTCATTTTATCTGTATGATAGCTGATCACATAATCTTTCACTCATACTCAACAAATTTTCTACTCTGATATAGCTCCTACACAGTTATATGCTAGGTACAGGACCAGGATCGTGAGCTATTCTATACAGGACTATACAGCCACAAAAGAGTTCAGAACATGCAGATAACTCAGAACTCATCCATTCACCGCTTGGATTAGAGAAGCTGCAACTGTTCTGAAACAAACCAATCATCACCTAAAATAAATAAAACATCGTGTATAAGGATCCCTTCCTCCTTGAGCTGTCATCTTTGCTTGCAGATAATGGGTGCCCTGCATGTTCCTTTACCCTGATGTGACAGTGTGGCAAGCCACATGCAGAGAAGAGCTGAAAAGCGCAGGCAGCTAAGGACTATGAAGTCTGACCGATGGTACGTCACACATTTATAGAAGCAGATGAACACAGTCAACACATTTAGAAAACCATTAAATGCTTTACTATTTACAGGCTTGGAAATATCCATACACACTACTACAAGGTACAAGGAAGAGCTTGGGAAGAAAAAATACTCTGTAGAGCAGGTGATTTTTGAATAGAAAATCATTACTTTCAAACCTCATTACATGGGTCATTCTCAACTTCCTCAGCTTCTCAGAAAAAGAGAGAGTTATGCGTTCAAGGGAGAGAAGTGGAAATGAGAGAACGTCTTTTGCTTGCTGTTACAATTGGCAGATATGAGCCATACAAGACCAAATGGATCAGCCTAAAATTCTGCATCATTCAAAACCCTCAACAGAAAGGACTTCTCCTGGAGAGAAACTAAAAATAAAAAAAAAAAAATCAGATTAGGTTATCATCTTCTTGAAATATACAAACTTCTTTGACAACTTAGGTCCAAAAAGAACCTGACACTTTGTACAGGGTACCCTTTAAGCAAGATGTTCTATTTTAAATTCTGAAAGAAGCAAAATTCTCCTCTCCTTAGATATTACTATAAACTCATATGAAACTAGTCGTATGTATCACATCCTACCAAGAGAAGCAACGTGAGCACAAGATACTTATGCTATCAGATGCTAAACCATGACTACTCAAAGCATTCATAAAGGCTGAAATTTTAATAGATACTGAAGTACTAGCGTGCCCAAATCTCACTGAACTAAATGGGAGTTAAGCAGCTAATTCCTCAAGTTTCCATTGCAAAGTCTGTATTGAATAATTCCTAATAATAAACTAATTTTAAAAACAATCGCAATCTGTCCAGAAATACCTTACAGATTGAAAAGGACTAAATTTTAGACAAGTTCATCTCAGCAAGTAATTCCACCACCTCCACTCAGCTCTGCAAGTCTTGTAAATAAAACACATCAGACTTTTTAAATTGCTTAGCATATGGTATCCACAAAGAAATCTTTCCATGATAAATCAAAGAGAGATCAATTTTTCTAAGTCCCTGCACCTTCCTGAGTGGCATAGCCTCCAAGTTAAACTTCTGTCACTGAGTTTTCGATTATTTTCATACTTACCAAGGCACAGGTTCTCCTAGGCATCACAGCTGTAAAAGAAGTTATCTTTATTATAACTGAAATTTACGCTTGCAAATGATAAACATTAATTAAAGCAATAGTTACAGAACATAGGTGAATTTGTATGTTTAATTTCTGAACTTTTTTATCTGAAGGGAGGTTATTTTACATGTTCAAAGAACTTCAGAGTAATTTCCAGTCTCCATAGAAATAAAAATTCGTAGTAGAGCTTTCAAATTGCTTTTATGTAAAGTTATTTAATTTTATTATCAAAATATAAAAGTTAAAGACATTAGCAACACCTGAATTAAATAATACTGTGGCATACATGATTGCTTTGGGTTAATTTCTTTTCTAGATTTTGATTTTGGAATTATTTCATACAGCAATATGCAAAAAAACTAAAAATACAATGATATAACATCTCACTTAAACAGACTTTAGTAAACGTTTCAATGGCACGAGTTTCCTTCACATGGCTGTTAAAGATAAAAGGTGGTTAGATTCTTTTTCCCTTTGTTTAGTAAAATAAACATAGTAATAAAGTGCCCTGCAAGAAACCTACATACCTATGCAGACTGCAAAACCACAGAAAGAAACATTCTGCTCCTGCAGTCTGATCTCAAAGGCACTCCAAGCATACCTGCAGGTACAGCCTGCAGGTCACATGCAAACCTAAGAGAAACTAGGGAAGGAAGGCTCACCATGAACACCAGGCAGCAACAGCAAAGGAATAAACAGTGCTTTGTACAATTGCTGGAGTACGTCAGGGACACCATGCTCAGCTGCCTTGCTCTTATGTGTTATTTATACCTATGTAAGGACAGAATAAAAACATCATCAATATAATTTCAACGGTGCATAAATTCACTTTATGCAGACGTAAATAACACCTAGAAGAAGGGCCACGAGGAGTCACACCATGATATAAAAGCTCTATTGATTTACTATTTCACAGAAGTCTACAGAAATTCTACAATAACTATGTTATTTGAAATTATAAATACTGTTTCTATCTATTATCATTTGATCCTGAATAGATGAAAGAAAAGCTTCAGGGAAATCTCTTGCTTAAACACCATTTTTCTTAAAATTATTTGATTGTAAACCTCCGTCTCATAACCCAGAACTGAGGAAAGGCTTTGACATTATGTACTTCTACTGAGACATTCCCTGCCTCAGGGAATGGCTATCACATAGCAGCAGTTAGGCTTGATAAGACCTCTGGCAGAGTGCAGGTCTCAACCTTAAGAGTTTGTACTTTCCAACTATAAAGTCTCCCTGGAAAATTTAACGCAGCCTGTTGGTCTATGAGCACACAGACGTACAGAACACCACTGACGCTTCTTTAGGAGAACGACAACCAAGCAATATTTTTAAATCACTTTGAGATAGCTTAGCAAACAAAAACGCAAGTCTCAGGTAGAACATATTTCTTATAAGTAAAGCAAACCTAGCTGTATTTAATAATACTTGTTGTCTAGAAGTAACTACCTAGCTGATGATAGCACACAAAGGTCAGGATAATTCTTATATCGTTATTCAATGTGCTGTTATGAGAGACTTTTCATCAGTATGTGGCACATTAATTCACATCTCCAACATCGCATTTTCTACTACCTTGCCTTTCACTCGTTCACTTAAAATTCAGAAAAGTCTTGAGACACAGACCAGGTCTTCACCAGAAACAAGCAAGCAATAAGTCTTCTGCAGCCTAACCAGCCCACTCCAACTGCAGCTAGTTTTCACTTTACAAAGTGTTGTGGTAACCACACTTAACACAACTCAGACAACCCTCTAAAACAAGGAGGCTCCAATGGAACAGACAGAATTTAAGAACTTGGCCAACTCACGAACGAAACAACATCCACTTACGAAAAGATTTCCACAACAGCCCATCAGCAAAAAATAATTTATTGCCGTGATAAGCTTATTGCCCCTTGTATGATGCGTCTCACACAAACATGTTTGCAATGAATGAAAGAAGCTGAAGGAGAGTGAAAGACAAATACTGCATGAGATTTTACATTTTACTGAAAACTCCTAGAAATCAGTCTTGTCATCTCTCACTAGGATTTTGGACATAAAACACTTTCTCCAGTGGTGACATACTGCTAACAGTCATCTTCAAACTGCCTTTCAGACCACTTACTTTACCAGTAATGTATATAAGAAGTTTCTTTACTTAGGACTCAAATACTACAGTTATATCAAATAGCTATCAGTTCTGCTCACGCAAAGAGAGCCATTTTCGTTAAGATTTCATCAAATTAAAAGTTTCAGACCTCAGATTCAGCTTCTGTTCATATTTTGACCTTCACAATTCTATACTACTAAATGAATATAAATTTAGTACACTTCTATACTTAAAACAGCTAAACAAAAAGAAGCATTTACAAATATCTTTTAAACTTATGAAAAAATCCATTGACATGTAGTTGGCCCTCACCAAAACCAAATTATAAATAGTAGCACAAAGTGAGAATTCTCAGTCACTCCAAATTTAGAGGATACAGCAGAAGTCTCAGTGATTCCTCTGCAAGATTTCTGAGAAAGCCCAAAACTCTTCCCACCTACCATTCTGCTCTGCGAATTTGAATAGGCATATGCTTTGAGATCACTGTCAAGTCTTGACGCAATACCGTGTCAGCTGTACATCAGAATATGTTCCCCAGAGCTGGCTTTAGAATTCACGTCTTCAAATTTTTGTGCCAGACTGCGTTGTCAAAGCTGCTAAGCATGCAATAGTCAAAGTACAGCTTTCAGTCCTCCCTTCCTAAGAACAGAAACTTCACTACTCAGAATGACATCCTTGAGCGGTAAATACTGTGAAGTGGTCAGGAACCCCTTTTTTCTTTATCCTTACAGGAAAAGCAGCATGGTTCAGACTTGAAAAGGGAGAGTAGCTGTTCCAGTCTGAATGACCACAATGTGGCTATTTGTTCTCTGAGAGAACAAAAATACTTTTAAAACTTCAACTAGCATTTTCTCTGGAGAGAACAGAGAGCTTTCTGAAGAATAAATTAAGCATTCAATTAAATTCTACAACAGGTAAGTATTCTTCGTGTCCTTTTGAGGAAATATGTTCAATGCTATTATTACAATCCCCTGTAAATAACTCTAATAAGTCATATCGAACTGAGAAATTCTGTTCTCAGCTCAAACAATATTCAATATAAATAGTACCCAGATTTACAAACACATTACTCAATATAAGTAGCACACAGATTTAAAAAGTGAGATCGGTAAGTGCTTTAGTTATTTTGCCAAATATTAAAAGACTGATGTAGAATATTGGCGCTATGCCAGACACTATTCTATAATTGCAGGATCAGGTCAGTTCACACCTCCAATTCTGCAGATCCACATGCATCGGGGTTTTCCATTCCATCTCCGACTCTTTCACTCTCAGAACTGCAGATGCATGTATAAATACTGAGGTCTTTCTAAATGCAAAGCAACGTTATTAACATTCACAATAATATGGCATTAAAGAATTGATTTGTCTCCACTGATGGAGAATCTAATTTAGGTTAAATAACTATGTTTATGAAATAGCTTCAGGATTTA